AGGTGAAATTGCGCTTTTAATTTATTCCTTTAGGTATATGAACTGCATCTTCATCCTGAGGATATAAGGCAAGAAACGTGAGCATTCCACAAGAAAACTGATGTCACAATTAGTATTAGCCTTAAGAAAGCAATTCTTCACAGGCACAATCCCTAGAATTTTACCAAATTGTCCTTCATATTTATCTTCACTAACCCCTTCTAGAGAAAGTCACCAGAGTCCAGAAAAATTCAACTAGTGAATTCTACCCTTAAAAGAGCTTTAGATCAAAGTATTGCTGATGATTTGGAATACATTCAGTAGAGGAGATTTCACAGCATTAATGATATAAGAGGGAAAATGAAATTTTCTCAATAGAAATTACAAGAGTATAGTGAGGTAGCAAGAGATTCTTCTTATTATATGTCACATCAAGTCTCCATATTCAAAAATCAGTCAATCTGTTATAATTAAACCTGATTTTGCAGTACATATGTTCTGCGGTGATGTGGAAATTAATACTATAGGGAAGTATCAGATTCCTGATCATGTAAGTGATATAAATACTTTGAAAATTATTATTGAAAACATGAAAAAAATGAACATAGAAGAATTTCAAACCAAACCTCAAAGTGTGATTGCTGTATTACATTTGGTAATGTCCTTTCTGTTATTAGTGCAAGATGAGTCATTTAGATAATTTTATGCAGTTAAATTTATATATGAGCAGCTAAAATTAATGACACAGAGTAAATTTGATTATTCAGCAGAAATGATGATTTTTTTTCTTCATTGTTGTAGAACTTCTTCTCTAGAGATTATAAGCTGTTAAAAGACACCAAAAATATAATTTTATTGAGTTATTCAGCCATCAGAAGACTAACCTTATCAACCTATAGGAATCTCATAGTTGAGCAACACGATAATTTTCTTATGTTTATTAAAAATAAGTTTAAGTTAATAGAGGAAAAAGACATTACAGTATCTTTACTTGTAAGTGAAATTCACTTAGAACCTTATTTTGATTATAAAGGTGGCTTAACTGAAAACAGCAATGAGTCTGCAACAAGTGCTTTTGCTTTTATTCTTAGCAGTGTATTCTAATAATACAAAGATGTTGTGCATATTATGCCAACTAAATGTTTTAAAGCTGAGAATTTGACATAGTTGACATGTAATAATTGGTCTAGAAGAGATAGACTTTAGAGTAATATTAGTCATAACAGATAGTAATGCAATAAGAAAGCTATATATTTCTTTTGTAGTCCTGCAAAACTTAATTGTATATCCACATCCAGTTACAAAATCTAGACCTCTTTTCTTCTGGTCATATACTAAAATGCATTAGAAACGATTTGGTGAAAGAGATGCAAGTAAATGCATGATCTTCCCAAATTTTTGTCATAATGGAAATCATGATTTAGATAATATCCAAAGTGCCCCATTTTGTACTTTACAGAAGCTTCATGTCTTGGAATCTCAGTCAATTTTGAAATATTGCTATAAATTGGCCTCAAAGACTCTTTCTTCCAATAGTTTAGAAAGAGAAAAGGATTCATTAGTTTTGTAAATTTTTTAACTAATTCACTATTCAGGAACTGATGACCTTAGGGAAACAAATGTTTGTCTAACTTTGCAACAGTTGCAGAATACATAAACATATTTTATACTTGGTGAACAATACTGAATCATCATTTGGTGGCTTAATAAATATGCTAATCCACTTAAAGTAAATGATGACAATTATATATTTTTCAATGTATTCTGGTTAGAATCTTGGAATAGCATTACTGGAAATAATGGGAATCTAACAAATGAAACATTTGCAGCTTTGCATGATACTGCTCATGCAATTCTAGAATTGACCAAATATTTATTTACATTATTTGGACGATTGTCCTCATTGTTGTCGCCATATTTATTACAACGTTTCATACACAGATGTCCTCAAGGACACATGGCACAGTGGATAAAGGCATTGGAGAACTTTCAGAGGGAAATTAACAGGAGATAACTGACATCCATTAAACATGGCACATGGAACTAGAACAGTCTACCCCAGTGAGTGAAATAAAGGGTTAAGTTTGACATTCCAACCACCTGAAGAATGCCAGAGTGTACAAAGGCCAAAACATTGTAATTATGGTGACAATAGTTTGAATAATGTACATAATACCTCATCTCAGAAATATAGACAGATACAGACCAAATATTGCACAGAAGAATTGAAAATGACGTATGTATTAGATGGTGAATTTCAAACAGATTACCTTGAGGATAGATTTGGCCAATACTGGAAAATTTGTGATGATCGATATAATATCTATATGTCAAGTGTTTGAGTGTGAAAAAAAATTAGAATGATGTCAGTTTTAAAGTTGAGCCTGCCACTTAATAACCAAAGCATTGATTTGAATGTACAAAGTGGGATGAAATGGCAGGGGAGCAAAATTTAGATATTTACAAATTTAACAGATGAGGATATTAATGAATGCAAAAAAGTTATATTATACATAGCTGTTTATTGCTGTTATGCTGTTAAGAAAATGAAATGCAACTGTTGTAAGAATTTAATATGTGGAAGTGATAATGAGGACAAAATACTGGAAATAAACAGCTATTTTCAAGGGATTAATAAGGTTCTCTGCTATATTCTAATGATACTACTACAAATGCTGTTCTCTGTAATTCTATAGTTATTGGTAAATTGACAAAAAATTCTTTTCTTCATTCAGTAAATCAAACAAAATTAGCCATGCATATAATCTTGAATGTTTTGGCAGATAATGATCATCTTTTTCATGTGGACTCACAGTATTGAAAACTAGAAAGAATGCTTATCTGATCTTCAAATGTTCTTTGGAATAATTTTTGTGCTAGGGAAAATAATAATTTATTACTAGAAACAAGTTAACCAAAAATGAAAACTTCAAATCTTCAGCTAAATTTCCCAGATGTAATATTTTTTTTCTACAATTAAAATTTGCTTTGTCTACACAGCAAAAATGTCAATATTGTAAGTTTACTAATACAGAATAATTAAAATAAAACATGTAAAAAGGTTTTGTTTTTGTTTTTTTTATTGTAAAGAAGTTTTCAAATAATTTTATACAATTGAAATAAGGAGACAAATTTTATTCTTTAAATTCAATAATGAAGTGTAGACGATTTACTTTAACAAAGCAACAAATGTAAATTTCTTTTCTAATCTAATTTTAATATAAAAATATTCTGTCACTATAATATAGTAACTTTATGGAATAATCATTAAAATAAAAATGGATTTTTAATCTATTTATTTGTTTATTCTGTCTTTATTTAAAAGATGTAATGTAGAAATTGAACCCTGGTTTGCTTTTCTTCCTTTAATGAAAAATTGTCAATTTCAATTGTATAACTTTTTACAGAATCAAACATTTTTTCTTCAGCTTATGCTACTTGTGACTTCATATCTTACCAAACAGGCCTTTTACTTTGGTGGTGTTGCTGTTAACATCCATCAAGAATTTTTCTGAGTAATTTAATTTACAAATTTAGAATACAATTAAAATTCTTTCTTTGGAAAAAAAAAAAAAAAATATATAAGTAGAAAATTTAAAAAATAGTTACCCCCCCACACACACTTTAAACTTAATTTTATTTTTCTTCCTAAAACCAAAATTCAAATTTTTCATACCAATGGCTTTCCTAATGAAAATTAAATCTTCAGATATAAACATCTGGAGAAGTTTCCGATGAAATCTTTAAAGTTTAATTTTCACACTTATAGAAATTGTCAGACATATCTCTAGTTGCAGAAGACATAATTTGAAAATATTTTTCATTCATCTAATTTTGATCAATTTTCTTAATTATCTGCTTTTAAAAATTAAACCAGAAATATCTATGAAATCATAGGATTTTTTTTACTTACCTGTAGTATAAATCATTGAAGCAGCAAGAGTAAACTGAAACTGGGAATTTTCTAATGCAATCACATCAAGTCAATTTCTTCTTGTTAACAATGGTCCACCACATACATTATCTGTGGAACTGATAATTATTCAATTCTTTTTAAGATTTGTGTTGGAAATTCTAAGAGAGAAGTTTAAAATTTGCAAATTCTAGTTTTCAGTTATATGGCAGCCATTTTGAAAATTTAATGAGTTGCTGTGACTTAAGCTGAAGATAGTTCTGCTACAATCTCCTTTCTGGCATTTTAAAACATTGTATTCAACAGATAGAAATAAAAAGAAAACCCACACAAACATACAGAAAGGGGTATAAGACAAGAATGTGTTTTCTCACCGGTTTTATTTAACCTTTACAGCAAAGCCATCACAAGAGAAGTAATACCAGGATTTATTATCATTTGGTTTGCACAAACTTAACATAAGATATGCAGGTGACACAAGTGTTGATGATAGACAGATAGGAAATTACAGGAACTCCTAGAGAAAGTAAAGTGAGAAGAAAAGACTTACCATCAATTGCAAGAAGACAAAATGCATGTTTGTCAGCAACAGCCCAAGATATGAGCTACAAATTGGAGAAGTCAAAATCTAGAAAGTACAGAAATTTAAATATCTTTGAAGTGTTTTAAACACACAAATATTGTGACACTGAAAGGTGCATTAGAAGAGCAAAAGATGCTTTCTAAAAGAAACTATTAAAAAAACAGAAAGATTTGGTTAGGAACAAAGAAAAGTGTACTGAACTACTATGGAGTATTAATTAGCAATGAATGTTGGACAATTTCCTCATAAATGAAGACGATTTTTGACTGGTTCATTTTGTACAATTTATTAATACTTTGTAGGTTATTTAAAGTCAAAAAATATAGATTGCAATAATTTTTTTAATAATGGTTTACTGATAGAAATTTTACTAATTAACCCATAGCTGGAGGGAGAAGAGGTGGATTCATACCTTTCCCAAGGGTATTTACACGTAAGTGACTATAACAAACCCAACTGCAAATGGGACTCAGCTCTGATTAACAATTCAGAGCTATAATTGATTACATCACCTGCACATTCAAGCTTACAGCAGCTAGTATTCCCAAGCAGTCATCCATTAAGGTACTGACCAGGATTGATGTTGCTTAACTTTGGTGATCGTATGGGAACTAGTGTTTCAATGTGATGTGGTTGCAAGCCACAAATGAAAAAGAGATTGTGGTAATTGAAATGTAGTACAATAAAAGGATGCTGAGAATAGCATGGACAGAGAATGTTAGAAACAAGTTTTAAGGAAAATGGAAGCAAAAAAAAAAAAAAAAAACCGAAAAAACTTTGAATCAAGAAGAGACAGTTGAAATTTATGAGACATAAGGAAAAAGGGCTTGTAGAATTTGACACTTATAGGACATTAAAGTAAGAAGTGCAAAGGGAATTTGTGAATAACCTACTTAAATGGATGGCAGGACAACTACAAAATAGAGGAAGCTGTGGAGATCCATGATCAAACATCCCAAAGGACATGGTACACAAAAGAAGAATCCACTGCTAATGGTCATCTACTTCTGGGCTTTATTTCAAAGAACAATACACTACACTTAAAACTACTTTGACTTCCTGAATTCTGCTATCAGCTTCAAGTTTAAAATACCTGGACAATTAACAGAATCTCAAACCTGCTGTTATAACATTTACTATCAATACTATTCAGCTGTTTTCTTTTTAAAAGATGTTTGAATCTTAAAAAATACTAAATCTGAAAGATGCCAAATATCAACATCCAGCCACATAAAAATGTTAAAAAAGAAAAAAAAAGTCAAATATTGAAATTAAAAAAATATATATTCATATTGATACTATAAGATGTTAAATTTTAACACCTATTTCAAACAATATTTCTTTTAGAAGTTGTGATCATTCTTGTATATTTACCAATTGTTTTCATTGTCCTAGTTTTAAGTGAAATGATTTTGTGTTTCTTGTTTGCAGAATTGCAAATCTTTTGAAAACTTGAAAGTTTTTCTTAAAATAGCAAAATATACAAAAGCACAGCAAAATAGTAACAGAAAAACTTCATTAGAAACAAAGAGTAAATGAACTGTTGTGTAATATCAATCCTCCTATTTGGCAGTTAAATGTGGCTCTACAGAAGGATACTGAGAATACCATGGACTGAACATGTAACAAGGAAGTTTTAATGGAGAAAAAAAAAGTTTACTTAGAATCTGAGCTGGAATTTCTAGGACATACTGGAAGCAGAAGGGAGAGGGGAAAGCAGTGAATAATTTACCTAATAAATTGGCATTGGGAAGAATAGGAAGTCGTGGAGAGCCATGATCGCCCAAATCATAAAGGGAAGTCATCATAATATTTACTGACAAAGTATATGCTGTTAAACCAGGAATTATTTCTAGAACTTTTTAGCAAATCATCAAAACTAGAAGAAACAAATAAAATGTTAGGTAAATATTTTCGATGCTTGTGTAAAGCAATGTCTATATGCAAGTTTTAAATGATAGGCCATGCAATCTTTTCATTCCAAGTGAAATGAAGTTTTGAATCAATACATTAGATCAAGTTTCAAAATTGTAACAAATTATGCAGCACTTACTTTGATTAACCACATTACTTAGAACAATTACTTATTGCTACTTACATAAGTGACAAACAGTTATAAAAATGTGGGATTATGGTCAATTTGTTTAAATAATACACTACTGTTTGCATCATGTAGCAATAAGCAACCAAGTAATCATTTTAAGTTCTCTGAATATTGTGCCTTTTATAATTCAAGTTAATGTTCACTCAAGAAAACTAATTAACCTAGTGATGATAAACATTTTCAAAATGTAGTTATGGGCAATATGCCATATGAATTTATGTTTTTATTAGAAATCTTTACAATAAATTATTTGTTAGTGTGAGATTTTATTGGGCAATTCTAAGGTTGTTTATATTATAGAAAAATATATATAATTGTGTAGTTACTGATATTTTTTAATTTCAGATATATAAAAATTGCTGTGGGTTGTAGTAAAAATAGCTTCGAAAGTGATGGAAAAATAACATTGGAAATTGCAGAACAGAAATTAGAGACCAAATAAAAAGAAAGTGAAAACATTGGCAAGATAAGAACAAGAAAAAAAACTTCTTTTTTTTTAAAGAATATTATAAGATTTGAGAAAAAAATGGAGAATAAGGACATTGGTTGCTTTCATGCCTTTAACCAAACTAGCACTTTTTAAGTAAACATCACAAAAGAAACATGAAATTGCATAAAGAAATACATAAAAACAAATTTCTCAATTTCTAGGATGAGTTATCATTATACTTGGATAATTTATTTATGATGTTTACAGACATGTTCTCTAGCCTTTGCTTTTCAATCCAGGTAACAATGTTGGAATTTAAAACTGAATCCACTATTTAATCTAGACATAAATTGTTCTCATTCTCTTGATCATTGAATCTATTGAAATTGTTTAGTTCTGCTCAGTCCATTTCCATGGAGTGTAAGCATCTGGCCCAGGTACTCTTTTTTTCATAAACTGATATTTTAATCCACCAAGCTATTCTCATGGGACAGTCCTGAGTGTAGAGCTTGGAGCCATAAACCTAATCTACTAGTCATATTGGACTATATTCACTGCTTCTCTTACTGGCATTTCGTTCTTTATATATTAATGGCTCCCATATTGTATTTATTTCTATCCTAGGTCTATGAGGTTCTCCTAGCATATGCACTAAATTCTTTCAATTTTCTTGTCTAGCATTTTTTATTTTTAAACACTTCAACCCTTTTACCTCTGTGTAAATTTCTCAGTGTTGTAATTTTTAGCTAGGGATAGTCAACCAACACAGAAAACAAGGGAAGGAGGTTGAATAATTCTTTAGACTACTATTGTAGGCAGTAAGATTATAGAAATTGAAGGTGCCAAGAGACGCAAAGAATTATTGTAAAATTCTTGGACTTTTTTTTTTAAAGTGATGTCACAACCAAGATTTAAGAAAGAAAAAAGTTTGTTTGCAAAGGTGATATTGCACAGCTTCCTAAAAATATTTCAAAGAGGTTTTTTTTTTTTTTAGGTTGAATATCTAAATTGTATATTATTTAGCATCTGTGTCCAGACATTTGAGTTAACTTTCAGTATTACCTATGCATAATAATATAGTAAAATCAGTATTTCCTAAAGTGTGCGCATATAGTAAGCAGAAAAAGATGGGAGTGGAATTTGATACCATAGTACCAATTTGTTAATTTCATACTAAATATTTCTTGGGGTGGGGGGTCTAAGGTTTTTAAAATGAAGTTGCTCAGTTCACAATGAAGTATTAGCCATATAGTGAGTAAAAGAAAACTGATTCTTTACCATTCAGCAATTATTTGAACTCATATTCCCACTTGCCTTTATAGTGTATATACACATTAACATGTGGACACTGAGGTGAACAAGTATTTTACACTTGAATCTTCAGACCATAAGATTGCATTCAATCATAATACTGACTGTTGCTGCTCAGTGTCCCACTTATACTCATATTGCATACTGTAAAGTTATATTTTTCTCATACACACAATATATGAAACACAAATGTTGTTTCTCATCACTGACTTGTCTTCAGTTTTTTTTTTTCTCTTGTACTCAATAAAATATCCAGTTCTCACCTTATGTTCAGCATCGTCTTCTGCAGAATTTGTGGATTCAGTTCTATCTTTTGTTGTCATTAATTTAGTCATATTGTCTTTGAGTGTTGATAAACCAATGCACTTTCTTATTCAGGGTTTGAAGCAAACCAACATCTGATTTTGCAACTGTCACATTCAGCTGGTTATGTTTTGATGCCTTAGTTTTTCTGCCTCTCAAACAGAACAAGTTTTTAATTTGCAGACACAAAACCAATTTTAACAAATAGCAACCAGAACTTAATTCAAATTGCCTGGTATATACCAAGCCTTCACTTTTAGTAGACCTCATGCCAGAATTGTTTTAAAACTAAAGTAAAAACTAGCACTTTAAATATTGATTTTCAAAGTGGTCACCCCCACCCCTTCAATGGGTGTTGTGTCAAAGCATCAAATAAACATTTTAAAATAATGTGCATATCCATATGTATATACTTTTATAATTCCAGCAAATCTTATTGACTCAAGGTTAATTTCTTTAGTTCCGTTCCTGCATTTTGAAATCTAAGGGAAATAACTATGTTGAAATATTTCATAAAAAAAAAAATCAAACCACCAGTATATTCAGTTTCCAGACCCCAAAACCATTTATTGGTTATGATATATAAGGGTAGGAAAGATAGATAGTTTGCTAGCTTTGAAATGTTGATTAGCCATGTTGAAAGAAGTGCTGATGGCAAACACACAGCTATTTAAAACAGGCAGCAGAACTACTTTTCAAGATTAAATTTACTAAATAAGCCTTAGTAAATTCTAGTTTCGTATCATCCTGACAACAGCTTGCAAATCATACCACACTAGTTATGGAGACATTTATAAATCACATCACAATGACATTATGAAGAAATTGAACCTTGCTAAATGTTTCTGGTAAACAAATGAGAGAACTGCAGCTATATTGATTCAACTGAGGGGGAGGGAGGGGAACTAATAAGTCTTTTGCCAGATCTAAAACATACTGCATACTGTTCAATTCATGATTAATATCTACCAATGATTCAGAAGATAAATTCAATGCACTGATGTTGAAAATCAGTATGTAAGACCCTCTCCCCATCATTAAGCTGTGTATCTACACAAATATAAATCTTTATTTCCAAAGTGAACTTGCTTTAATAAAAATATTTTGATAATTCTAAGTGCCACTGCTAGGCCCTTTAAAGTTTTTCAAATTTACATAAATGCGACCATATATCCACACAATATATTTATATATCTGTATTGTCAGTAAGGATTGCACAAATTCTCAACTTCTTCAAATATTTGGATTCCCTTCTGACTAAGTAGTAGTAGTAGTGAAATTTGAAACTGTCTACAGTAGTTAGTCACAATGCTATTAATATAAGATAATCACCTCACCATGAACCTTCCTTCCAGAAAATGTTTTGATGGATTTTTTCAAGTAATCTATGGGTAGGATCTATTAAAACGCAAAATTTTTTTTTTTAAATTCAATTTCTTGAAAGAAAAGTTCCACAAGATTAATCAGCAAGAGCTTAAAATTCAATGTAATGTAATATGAAGTGTACATTTAGATCAATCAAGATTTAACAAAATACACTATGAAGGCTAAGATGATGATAATAAATCCTAACATACAAAAAAACAAAAACAAAACCCTACTTGATTATACTGGTGATATCAACTCAGGTTAATATGATCATATATAAATTTGTTAAATAAGGGAGAATTTGCTTCAGAATATTAAGATAAAGCTGCAGAGCTTAACATTCAGCCATGTGGTAATCACTAACTACATTTAATCAAATTACCAAACAGAATAAGATTCATTTATCAATATAGTGATTTTCTAAGCATTGCTTAGATGTGGCACAAGGCTGGAAGTATGGAGCACCCAGTGAGGATCAAACGCACTACTCAGTCGTAATATGTTCTAGCGAGACAAGCTTGCTAACCATTACACCACGCTGAGGTGCCCATAAGATTCATTTATCAATATATATGAATAAGAAATTACTAAATTATAAGAAGTCAGTTTTCATTAAAACTCCCTGTACACCAATCGACTTGGACCATAACTGTTTTTGGGGTTACAAACAAGGATGTGTATAAGTCACCCACAAAATTTTACACCATGAAGTTTATATATTTGTATATATTGTTTTGCAATGTCAAACGTTTTGTGTCTATTGCAATCAACCATTTCAGCAAGGTGGTAAATGTAAATTTGAGCCATGCAATTTTATTTATATGAAATTGCATATTTGCAAGTGCAAAAAAAAAAAAAAAAAAAAAAAAAAAAAAACAATCATTAATTGTGACGAAAAATAGAAAGTGAAGTAAACTTAAAATCTGGGTGGAAAGCAAATATTCAGGCAAAAATTCTATTTAATTATAGACACAGAAATGAAAGACTGACCAATGAAATTAATCAGCATTCCACATACATATTTTAATGATTGCTTCTTTGCAATCATCTAGTCCTGAAATAAAAGTATTTTTTTTCTTTTTCACAAAATTGACTATTATTTTAAACAATTTAATAGCAATTAGGAACGGTTTACTTTTTTTTTAAAGCATACAACCAGATTTTTTTTTTTTTTTTTTTTTAAATATAACCTACACAGTAAATTAAAAACCAGTGTTACATCTGATCAGTTGCAATCATTGTTATTAATACTGTTATATAATTTTACTTATTGCTGTTACAATCTTTTAGCAGTTCTCATTTTGCCGAGTAAAAACAACATTCATGAGTAGGACTCATCAATAGTCAAAATGCATGTTTTATTCTTTATTGAGTGACTGTCATCCATCCACACAAGATATGTTGTCACAAATTTTAAAAAGGCAGCCACCTGATACTTGCTGTTGCTTTTTTTGTCCAAAATCAGTCAAATTTTCTTTTTATTAATAAAAGATTCCCCACCCCATCACTCACTTTTGAACAATTCCAATTCTTATGATATCACTGCACTAGCTTCATTAACATTAGATGCATTCGATTTGGACTTCAGAGACTGTAAGGCCTTCTCTCGTAACAACTTCTCAAGCTTCTCTTGCTCAGCACCACTGTCAGAAGCAGCCTGCAAAAATGAATTGATAACCAAGAGTCAAATATTATTCTTGAAAAAAAATTGATAAAATATACAAAGCAAAACATCTGAGATTAATGAAAAGGGTACCAGATATAAATAATAACAAAAAAATACCTCTCCTTCCTCCTTCCCCTTCTTGTGTTTGTGTTTCTTGTGTTTTTTATGCTTTTTATGTTTCTTTTTGTTTTTCTTTTTTTTCTTTGCCCCAGCATCACTGTCAGAACCCTGCAAAAATTCAAATTATCTTTCAAAACAAAGTCCAGAATGAACAGGTTTACTCAAATTTTCTAACCCCACCCCCTGAAATCAAACATTAAGAGTTTAAATATTTCCTGGTAAAATATCCAGATTGCATTTTTAAAAATTTATTCATAAAAAATCATTGTCATCATATGATGATTATATCCCAGTCTGTGATAAAGTTAGTAAAATTCACATGAAAATAACTTATACATAAGTCATGATTAACAATAGGAATTCATTTTTTGCCTTTAATCAATTTAAAAATTGGTTACTTAATTTACAGAGAAAATTGCTTTAGCATAATTTGTAAAAAAAAAAAATAACAACACCTAAATAGTTAAATATTAGCAGCTTAATGAGAGATTTGATGAGAATTATGATGCTGAAATAAGGACCGAGTAATAGTTGGTCAGGTGATAATTTAAAAATATTAGAGAAAAGTATTCTCCCTGAAGGTGAAGACATATATTCTTGACCTAGGCAGTAATTAGATGCACTTGATGCAGACCACAATCATCTACAGAAAAGTTCTAGAGCAAAATACAATTTTTTTTTATTTTTTATTTTTTTTACCTCAGATGAAGATGATTTTTTCTTCTTTTTCTTCTTCTCTTTTTCAGGTGCTTCAGACTTCACTTTTTTCTTGGCTGAATCTGATCTTACAGCCAATTGACTCTTGTTCTGGTGATAGTCTTTATCTGCAGCAGGTGCAATATCTGTATCCATAGAAGTAGGTGGCTCAGATCTGCCAGCTGTAGCTGGAGGACTGCCACCAGATGGCTGGGTCTTGGACAGGCACTCTGGACTACTTAGCAAGGCTTGATATTGGCTTTCCTTTCCCAGATTTTTGGACTTTTTAGGAGAAGGATCTGGGAGCTTATTCGAGTCTGTATCATCCCGTAACTTCTTGGAAAGTGGAGATTGTGATTTTTTTCTCCTTGTCTGAGTGGGAGAGGGTGAACGACTTGCTGACAGACTCTTGGACCTTGATCGTTTCTTTGTAAGCTGAAGTGAAGTATCTTCCCTGTCTGCAGAGCGGGAAAGTTCCCGGGATTTCCTTTGGCGCACAACAGTTGGCGAAGGTGGTTGTCGGCTCATCATAGACTTGCCAATTTTCTGAACTGGAGAACTTGGAGAGGTGGACTGTCTGTAGCGTTTTGGGGAAGGGGAACGAGATGCAGAAGATGAAGATTTCTGATGTGAAGACGGTACTTGCTGTTGACGTCTGGCTGAAGACAAAATGGTCACCTCAGGAGACACCTCACGTCGAGCAGCAGGTGATTCAGAATGACTTCTATCTCTTTTACCTGGCCCTGAAAGAGGCTTCTTAAGTACACGAGGAGGCGATTCTGAGGAGGAATGACTTGCACGGAGCATTTTTTGGGGTGAAGGTGATCTGGATTGTGAAATATTCCTTTTCTGGCGAGGTTGTTGCGGTGGTGGTGAGGAATGAGAAGATGAACGTCTCACTCTGGGAGGGGACGATCTATAAGGGGAATGCTGTCTCATTTGACGATGTGGAGGACTCTCAGGTGATACCTTTCTACCATGCTTTCTTCGTAACCCTTCAGGTGAAGGAACATTTCTTCTTCTGGGTGGTGAGGGAGAACGAGAAGCTTCCCTTTGGCGGAATGATCCACGCATCCTGTCTCTAGATCGTCCAGGTGAACGAGGAAGTGGACTTCTGCAAATCAATAAAGATTCATGAAAATGTTTAAAATTAGTTATAACTAATTATTTTTACCTTTCATATTTTCACAAAATTTTAAGAATAAAACAATGAGAAATGTTTTCATAAATTTTAATTTGAAAGTATATCAAATGAGTTCAGCTAAGGTGTAAAATACTTACCCTCTATAAAAACGTTTTCCTTGAAGTTCTCTGAACTAGAGAAAGAAGTAGACACTTGAAAACTCATAAAATGTAAGTGGCTTTACAAAAAGGCCAATTTGCCTTTATCTAAACATAGTATAAAGAAAAGGACAAAAGTTAAATCCTGTTTTTTGTTTTGTGACAATCATTTTTACTAGAGTTCAGTAAAAGAAGAATATGCTGACCTTCTTGTTCTTACTGGAGAATATCGTGGCGGAGGACTTCTTCTATATCTTTGTTCCCGAGGAGACCAACCATGTGCTGGACCATAGTTATAGCTGGAAAAAAATTGAATACTAAACAATTAAAAGTTGTTATGCAAATAGTTTTTCATCTAAATTGGTAAAATATATGAGCCTGTGAAATATACACATAAAAAAGAAAAGTTTACTTAAATCAGTTACTGACTATATGTGCATAATACATGCCTTTCAATTATAACTAGTATATGCATCTTAGTTATGCTAACAAGGTTTCAGTTAATATTTCATTCGATTCAAAATTCCCAGATGGTTAGATAATTTAAGAGAAGTGGTGGCTATTAAAAATTCATATACTCTTTTTAAAATATTCTAAAGAGAGAGAAAGAAAAGAAATTTATTGAATGGATTACAACCAGCGATGATATTCAATTAGAGAAATGAATTTTTTTCAAAACATTATGTAGGTAAATTTTTATAATCTAAATGTTAGATATTATGTATGCACTAATATAAGGCAACTTTTCTTCATTTTTGTATTTTTCCTTATTATTTAAAACTGTCCAAGGATGAATTTTTAGACAGCAAGTTGAACTTACGGTGATCTGCGCACATTGTAGGGAGATGGACGTCGTCTCATCCGCCGAGAACCAGGATCTCTGATAATGTCTCTTCTGCCATAACGATCACGGGGTCTAGAAGGTGATGGATACCGACGATTCCTTGGGGATTCTGAACGTCTGTCTCTTCTATCTCGAGTCTCTTCTGGAAATGAAACATTTTTCCCCCAAAGTAGTTACAATCAATTTTTTTCTGACGATTTAAAAATATTTTACCCTAAAACATTGAATTTGATTAAATTTTATAAAATCAAAATGCCAAAACATATTGATAGCTAACTACACATGGTCCAATGAACATCTTTTCCCAGCTTTAGTGCTAGCAAAAACTGGCTAATGCAACTTGGTTGGTTCTTGAAATTATCTGATTTTAGAAGAATTGTTTCTTTACTGGGGCTTTTGCAATTGTTTTAAAATAATTTATGAATGGAAAATTTGCTTGTATGATAAATAAGGAATGTTTTGCTAAACAACTTTATTTTCAAAAAATATATTTCTGTCAGTTAAATGCATAAAACCTTTGTAAATTTTTTTTTTTTTACATGTAACTAATGCAAAATTGAATTAGATTAATGTTAAGGATATAGGTCACATTTCCATACATAAATTATCTGTAAAAATGCATTTCATCGTAAAAGAAACTAACCCTCATGAGAATAGCAACAGTCTATGATAATACCACTTAATTATCTAAAATGATGAAAACTATGTCTGACCAGAATACAAAAGACACTCACTTTGTGGAGGAGCTTCATCCTCTGAAGAAGAAGAACTACTGCTGGAACTCTCAACTGTGTCTTCATGGGTACGGTAATGGCGCCGTTGCTGAATGCCTAGTTTGACAGGAGATGCAGCCTTTGCAGGTTCATGGTTTTGGCTTTGTTTAGTGTCCTGTAATATGGGAAAAGTACAATTTCATAGCAAATTTCAAGACAAACAGTTTATAATGAACAAACAATGATTTTTTTATTTTTTATACAGTATTAATTTCAATAGAGAGAAGTCAGACTTTTCCCCATGCATAATGGCTGCTGTCAGGTAAGGTAATATAATTTTCAAAGAGAAAGAATGGTGGAAAAGAATCAAACAAAAAAAGAAAAGGATTTTTTTAAAAAATTGTAATTAATGGCAAAACAAAATAGAAAAACATTTCAATTTACAAAATTTGCAAACACTTTAGAGTCTATATTGTCAGATTTAAAATCTAAAAGCAGAAAAAGTGTATTATATAATGGGAAAAAAAAAAAAAAAAAAAGAAAGAAAAAGCAACAGACCCACCAAGGCATAAAACAATTTTTATATATGCACACACACACACACACACACACACAATTGAGCATCAGGAAAAAAAGAAAAGAAAAAAAAAAAAAAGAAGCAAAATGTAACAATATAAGGAATTGAATGTTTATATAGTTAGGGTAAAATTAACAAAAAAATAGATAGAAATAAAGGTTATGTTTACATTACAGACAACTTCCACTGTGAGAAAAATCCTTTAATCAGAGTTTAAATTAGATTAATGGAAGATGTTCAAGTTTCCTGTTTTTTGTGTAAGCAAAGTAACAGACAAATTATTCTAAATATAGTGAGAAGAAAAATAAGATTATCCACAGGAGAATTACTAATATCACTAATTAGTGTGATTGGAAAACAATTTCCTAAGAGCTCCTTTTGGAGAAACAAAAAAATAATGCCCCCAGCTAAATGAACAGAAGGCTATATATATATATATATATATATATATATATATATATATATATATATATACACACACAAGGAAAAAAAGATAATGCTACCTTTAAAAATTGTTAGTTGTTTGGCCAAGAACTTTTGGCTCATTGGGCATGTCCAGATGTGTATGTGAGTGTGTATGTATGTTTATCTAAAAAATGAATGAATTGATTTTTAATAAGACATTGTTATTACTTCTGATAGGAAACACCACAGATTCACAATACCTAAGATTTAAAAAGAATTTTTAAAAAGAAAAATCTTTCTTGCAGTTTTTATTTCAAGCTAATAGATTAAATTTAATACTTCCAATAAGCAAAATACTTTGATGTATTTCAAAACTAATTTAAAGGGGTTTTCATTTTGAAATCTTTGATTTTAGTACCATTTTCAACCACAGAAATGCATTTTTTTAATAAAGCAGTAGCTGTTTATTTAAGCCATTAAGGTATTGACAGCTTGATGTTTAATGTTTTTCTACAGCGACCTTATCCATAAAAAATTGGAAGAATTAACTTTAGCGTCTTTTATAAATAATTTTTAAGCAGTCAGTAATCTTAAAAATTGAGAAAACTATTTTCTGTAATCTAAAAGTTTTATTGAATTTTATATACTTCCGCTTTAAATTTACTAGTTATGGCTCTTATTTTCTGATGATGTTATGTATGAACATCCGTACCTAGAAAAATTGGCACATTTATACAGATACGAAAATAATTCAAAATTCTTTGTAAAATACATGGGTGTGTAAATTGAAATAAGCTTTACGATCCATGGTTAGTAAATATATAGTTTTACTTAACAATTCTCCCTACCTTCTACACAATTGAAACTGAATTTTTTTAAAAAATTATAAATTATTCTAATTGATAAAAAAAAGTAAAAATTCATTATTCTTTGAAAATTTTTTCTTAATTAATATGCATCTTATTCATAAAAGCAATTAAAAGCTTTTCTAATTAGATAATGTCTTAGTTTTATTGCTTTTTTTTTATTTGACAATTTAAAGATTGAATTGCCCACGTTTGGATTTTGGATACAAGTCCAAAATGCTGTGAAAATTCAACAGAGTGCTACAATAATTCTGAAGTGTTGATACGCCACCTCCACCCCACCCAGATTAGAGACAGGCTAATACCACCCATAGAGGGACACTGAGCCAATGTGTGACATGCATTCCCTTGATGACGTTCATCCTGTTGTCTCATAGGACTCAAGCTGCCACCACTCTCTTAAAAAAATCCCGCAAACATCCTTTTTGTGAATACCATTTTATGTAGTATTGCAAGAATTTCCAAATCAATGTTTTTCAGCACAAAACAGTAAAATTTGCTATGCTAATTTATACCTCATCTGCCGATGCAAGAAAAAAATAGGATTTTTAACCAAAATTTTGAACATTCTAAAAGGTTTAAAAACAAATAAAAAATACTTTGGTCTTTCCTCTTAATAACAAAGTTTTTAATAAAACTTTGTTTTTTTTTTTTTCAAGTTTAAAGCATTTTTTCCTTCACAGTATCCTCTTTTTTCCATGAATTGGGAGATATGCTTTATAGTAGACACTTCATATTTGAAATAGAAACCTTATTTTTATTTATTAAATATTGTTTATTACAGCTATCAGCCTGCACATTCAAGAAATCTTAAAGAAAAAGCACTCCTCTGCAAGGATTGAAACTGCATCCTCCTTTGCAAGGGATACCACTTTTGACACATTGTACATCTTTGTGGCCAAACAGTAAGGCGCACTGTATCAAACTTGTTTCCACACCAAAGGAGGGCACATATTCAATCCCTGCTGGCGACTGCATTTTTCTTTACTATTTCTCATATGCATAGGCTGACATATGCAACACATACTGTTTAATAAATAAAAATGAGGAGTCTCTCAGATATGAAATATCTCTTACAATAACATCTGAAGTGTTTATATATGTTATTGTATTTGATTATAGAAGATAAAATGTTCTAAAAAGTATGCAATAATTAAGTTGCCTGAAAGACGGAACAAAACGGTATGTTGTTTAAATTTTTGGCCTTTCCTTTTTACTTAAATATTTTAACCAACCCATACAATAACTGTATTTACCAGATCTCTATACAGGTTGGGGGTGGAGGGGAGAGAAATGTAACTGGGTTGATCATGCAGCTATTTAAAATATTAATGAAACAAAAAACAACAACATGCCACTAACACATCACCCTGCCCGCACATAAGGAAATTATGCATGGATTTTCAAAGAAATACTAAGTTTAACTGCTGAATTAGAAAAGGCAGCCAAAAACAATGACATTCCTCAACAAAATCAGTATTTTTTTTTAATAAAAATGTAGAATAGTTTCAAAAGTAATGGCTGATTTTGCCATAGAAGGGAGAAAAAAAAAAAAAAAAAAAAGAAAAAAAAAAAAGAAAGTGAATCTGATAAAAGGCAGTGGTAAATATTGTCATAGCATTTTGTTTCCTGGAAAATTCTCCATTTTTGGTGTTGCAGTTGGTCACATCAGGCTTTGTGGGCGGTCCATTATGATCAAGTCACAGCAGGCATTTTTAAGCAAACATCACAACCATAGGCCAGCATTAAGTTTACTTATTACTGGTACCTCGTGTGAAATCAAGGAAATAGACTCATTCAAAGCTGGATGATCAAAATCACTTTACCGAGCTTCCTTCTGTTCCTTTTCAATGGCCACTGTAGAAAATTGGACTGACAAAGAAAAATAGTCATATAATGCTAAAAATATTAACAAATTTGATTCTCAGATAAAATTGAGCTGCAAATTTTAAAAATCTAATTTTCACTGCTCAATTACAATGCTAATGGCACAAAAACAGGTTTTTAAGAAAAGCACAATAGAGATCAATGAAGATAAATAATTTCAGCAGTGTCTTGTGTAAGTCTTAATTTAATGACTAGAGATTGGCTATGATGATAAACTTGGAAAGAATTGCATTAGAAACTATTGTTTTGATAATGATTTTTTATGTAATCACTAAAACTCAAAAGGTATAATTAAGAAATGCATATTTTCATAGTGAATAAAAAAAAAAAAAAAAAATTGTATTATAATCACAGGTCTGATACTTTTCAAGACATGAAAATAAACAAATTGGATAAATTTTGCATTTTTAATAACTACCCAGAAAAATATCAGGATGTATTTGATGTACATGAGCAATTAAATACTTTTATTGCAATAGGATTACAAATCTTCTAGAAGCAATCTACGGTTGACACTTTATAGTAAATTATAAAAAGAAAAACAGATTAACATACAGGCAATAAAAATGCATCAACTTTGCTGATTGATTTTTTTTTTTTTTTTTAAATTACTGAATACCATAAAAAATCTTATTTTTCTACAAAATTAAAATTTAGTTTTTTCTTATTTATAATTTTCTATCAGTCCCGTTTGGGTGTGGCTCTAGGGCTGCTGCACATCTGAGAACTTGACTAGCTCCCTCCAACATCTCAACAGGTATTCATTCATGTCCCATGCAAAGTAAGCCTGGCAGAGTCTCCTACTAGTCCAGACCACAGGCAATGTCCCCCAACTTGAAGGCTTGCCTTGGTCATGGATACATGGCTGTGGATTCCATGGGGAGGAACCGCACACTTAGTCTACAAAGTCTTCTTCCAGTGATAGCATGTCATCATTACTAGTTGTTCAATACTATGTGTAGATTTAGTCTTGGCTGAAATCCTCACTGCTGAGAATCTCAGAATCACTGCATATGGAATTGCCAGTATTATGATCCATACTGATGGTTAAAATAAATTTCCTAATAGTTTCAAATTAAAATAGTGCTAAAATGAAAATTGAAAACTGTTTAATTATGTGTTAACTGCTCAATCTTTCTAAGAAATATTTTTTTAACAATTTTAAAATGTGGCACGACTTATCAAAAATATAAACTAATATATAAAAGAAAAGTGATATTTCAACCTGCCTGGAATTATATGAAGGAAAAATGTTTATTTAGCTCTTCATAAATATCGTTAAAACAATATCAAATATTTCAAATGTTATGTGCCAGTAGCATTGTTTCTGATAGCTTTTAAGTAGACTTTTTATAAAGTGTTACAAGAAATGAAAGATTAAAAATCATATAGAATCTAGGTTTTTATAGACAAGAAAATAACTTTTTTTTTTTCTGTAAATGAAATGGTGGAGGAAGAAGAAAAAAGAAAAAAGTTAATAAATTAGAGATTAAATTAAAGACAATGTTTGATTAACTTACCTTGATTCAAAGCAATCTGTAATGATCTGTTAAAGATCAGAGAGATCCAGCGCTGAGCAGCAGTTGTATTCTAAGTCACAGTTCCTGAAAGTGTCCTGGGATAACATAAATGGTCTCCAGTTGCTGTTTATGGAGATGTGTTCAACACTGGGTGTGTGCTTCCAAAAATAGAATAACTTCAACAAATCAGGTGTGTCTCTGTTTGGTTTCCAGTAAAAAAGAAATAGACTAACTTAGGGACAAATGCCAATAAAACTACAAAATACGGAAGCATCAATTAGTGGACTCTTTTTGTAGACAACAAGAGGGGGGAGATACTAACATGACAACATATAGGATTTTTTTTTAGTTTAAGAGAAGTGCAAAACATTCTACACATTCTCATTTTAAAAAAAAAAAAAAAAATAAAAAAAAAATTAACACTTAGTGTTTGATCAGAAATAATTTAAATGGTTAGTCTGTTGTCTGTTCAGTTTCTATATTTCAGCTTAAGGCTCACTATGTGTCACCACTCATTAGAAGGTCTCTCCTTGCCAACCAGAAGCCAAGGCAATGAGGGAGGGAGGGGGGAAGTCTCTAACAAGAGCTATAGTGTATAGATATGGGTGGCAGCCATACAGACTCTAAGAGGTCAATATTTATTGTTCCTAACAATTCTTCCCAAATGAGTTTAACATGCAATAAAAACTATGGCTCGAAGGAGGGGAAGAAAAAAAAAAAAAAAAAAAACAAATAAAACACACACACAATGTTACAAAATAAAGCGTTTTCATTACTCTTAAAAGAGGAGGAGAAAAAAAAAAAAAAAAAAAAAAAAATATATTTTTCTCAATATTGATGAAAGGTTTTAATATACTGAACAGAAAGCACTAAGCCAGAGGCTAGCATATTAAATATCTATCTGTTGATCATAATACTTATGGAGAGAAAGTATAAGCTGAAGCTTCTTTCGAATTAGATATGTTAAATAGGAAATCTAAAAAGGCATATATTATGTATAACAGAAAATAGGATTAAAGTTCAATTTTGAAGTTGAAAGGTGGAAAGCAAGGGAGACAACATGACACTTAGATGTACTGCTGCCCAGCTCTATGTTGTAAATAATACTTGATTAGTGTAAGCAACCCCAGCTGTGCAGCTGCCGAGACAAAACTGGGAGGAAATGTCTTCATCATCACGTCTTCAACAGATATGGCTCCAAAACAAAACAATCTGTATATTTCCTGATAATAGATATTAATCTGTCCAAAAACATTCAACATCAACAATAAAAAAAAAAAAAAAAAATTCAAAATAAAATAAGAGAAAAAAGGGGGAATCCAAAGAAACCAAAATTTATTCATTTCTAGAAATCAAGAGGGAATCCTGTAATAAGACAGACAAGATGCTTGATAGTGAGGTAATTTTTCTTAATTGCTTATAAAAACCCTGCCTACTTTCATGTATTGCAGCTACAAATTTGCTACTAGAGAAAACCAGTAGCTGTTAAATGTTCTTACAGTACAAAAAAAAACAAAAAAAACTTCAGATTCAATAAATAGGTTTTTACTTGTTTCTGTAAAAGAAAAAGGAACCCCTTCTCTCCACCAAGGGCATGATTTCAGAATTTTTACCATAACATTTTAAGTTTTTATTATATCAAGAAAAATCTTGTTCAGCATAATGAGTAATTCCATATTTTAAATGACAAAGTGACTTATGTACAAAATATTAATTATTTGAAGACATGCACATTTCAAAATTTCCACATTAAAAGAATTATAGTAATTATAGAAAATGCAAGAATTCAATTTGAACCAAATACAGCCAAGGAGCAATATTTCTAGTTTTATGCACAAGATGGATAGTGTATATATAAAATCAATATCATTCCATAAATTATCGAAAATAAATTCTGATGAAAAATTGGCAGAACAACTGTTTAAGTGTGATGATGTTGTAGATCCGAATTTTATCAAAGAACTGACTTTATTTGCAGGGTTTTAGAAAAATCTATTACCCCAAAAACATACTTTGCCTGTCTCTACATTCCCAAGTTTAAATGACCATGATAAAACATTTCCTTTTCTTATATAAGAACCCTTGTGACTAGCAGCCATTATACATTTAGAAATGATTAAGAAAAGAAGATGAATATTCAATTCTTTAAGACAGGTTACTTTAAAAAAGAACCAACATTAATATCCTGGTAGTTTTCAAATAGCTAAGATAGCTTACACATCTATGAACATTTTGAGATGCATTTGGTTATTTGGAAATAATAAAGAATTGTGACTGTTGGCATATATAAACAAAGAAATCAAGAATTACTAATTTTCATCTTCTTTCTTTTATGAATCATAGTTTTATAAAAAAAATAATAAAAAAATACTGAAACAGAAATTTATTAAATTGCATCTTTTCATTTGTGGCTGCTTGGTTGAAAGAAGTTTAAACCAGAAATCACAGATTGTATAAAAGGGAAAGGTTAAGACATTAAAAATATTTGTTTGAATATTATTCTTTGTAGCCAATAAGAATCCAAGCAGTCACACAAGTACCTCTAGGTTTAAGTAATTACTTACCCTTCTGGTGCTCTCTTGATTTCTTTTAGACTTGGCTGGGCTACTTGAACTTGAAGATGATCCAGATGAACTACTTGACACAGAACTTGAACTTGGTGATCTTATAAAAGAAAAAATCCACAAATACTAAATGCTGATTTTTTTTTTTTTAAACTCTTCAATTTTTGCATTTAATAGGAAGTTAGATTATACAATAATGGAACTGAAAGCTACAAGACAAGGTTAGTGAATGAACATTAAGTTTTCATATAAAAATTTGCAAGTGAAGATCTAACTTTAGAAAACTCAGATAGCAACCAAACCCATTACCCAATGAACATTTGAAAGCTGTAGTACCATTTTAAATAATTAAAGAACAATTGGCAAAGATAAAAATGGCTTCAATTGCAGATGGAAATCTATGTATTTAACAGACATCTTTTCTATTAGATATCACATCTTCATGCATCAAGGGCACTGACTGAACTATCAATTTAATGTTAAACAATCTGAGATTATGAATAAGAGAGGGATTTATGTTGTTACCCACCCCAACTTTATAAACATATTTAGTACCTTCTTCGTCCAGACCATCTGTCCAGTGGACTAGATGATGATCCAGCCCATTTTCTTGTATGTGGGCTTGGACGCCTTCGAGATGAAGAACTACCAGTTGGCCTTGGGGAAACGCTTCTCCTTTTCCGAGGAGATGGACTTCGCCTCCGACGAGGAGAAGGGCTATGCCGTCTCCTTGGAGATGGGCTTCTGCGTTTCCGAGGAGATGGGCTCCTCCTTTTCCTGGGAGGACTCCTCCTTTTTCTTGGAGATGGACTCCTCCTCCTGTTCCTTGGTGATGGGCTTCTTTTCTTTCTTGGTGATGGGCTTCTCTTTCGATAAGATGGGCTTCTTTTCTTTTCTTGAGAATGACTCCGTCTCCTTGGAGATTTTCGGAATGGGGATACATATCTATGGCTTTTGGGTGATCTGTGTCTTGATGTGGATCTAAATGGAACATTGAAAAAAATAATTAGTAAAAATGCTTTAACTGTGAAGTTAACATATGCTTAAATGATATTTCAAAATGAGTATTTAAATCTGTTTGAGGCTGGTGGTAATTTATTATGTTGCAATGTACTGATGAAGTTAAAAATGTTATAGTGAATTTTATTTTAAAATATTCTGATAATATTAATATGAAATGAACATGTAAACAAATACATAATTCTAAGAGTGTTCTGCAAATTGATGAATTTTATAAAGTCATTTATTACTGATTTTTATATTTAGCGTATTATGTAGCAAACATTATATATTTTTAAACTACAATTTATTTCATTTTCTTTTATACAAGCAGATCATTTTCCTTTGATGCTTCTAAAATGCAGCTTTGTAAGTATCCTATCCTCAAATATTCAAGATATTACAGCCTAACCTGCATTTTTTCTCACCCATTAGAAATAATTTAAAAGAAAAATAAAACATTACCTGCTTCGAGAGTGAGACCTGCGTCGATATTTAGGACTTTTAGACCGGCTTTTCTTCCTTCGTTCTGGAGATGAAGACCGAGATTTCCTTTTTTTTGTCTGCTCTTTATTTTTGACTGCAGATTTATCATCAACATATTTGGGTTCTTCAGTCTTTTTCTTGTTGTCTAAATTCTTAATATTTTCTTTTTCAGGATCTTCATTGCTGCAATAAATAAATTTTAGCTTATATTACATTCCAAGTTGTTGAAAAAAAAAAAAAAAAAAAAAAAAAAAAAGCTTTCAAGAGTTCAAAATATGAAATATGTTCTCCAGCCTACATAAAATCTAACAAGATTTTAATTTATACCTTTAATTTTGAGTCAAAAGGTGCTGAAAAGTTTGCTGTTCAACATGCTTCTAAAAATCTGGCCAATGACCAGTGTTAAAAAAAAAAAAAAAAAAAAATTTTTTTTTTGGTCAACCAGAAATCCTCAGCATCTTTATTCATTTTTTTTTCTTTTTTTTAAAATCACTAGATAAGATGAATAGAGACTTTTTTTTTTTTCCCCTAAGGAAATGGCAAAGAAAAAAAAAAAAAAAAGAAAAAAAGAAAAAAAAAAGAAGCTCAACACAGAATACATCTGGGAAAAAACACAAGTGCCTGCCAATCTGAGTAACCGTCATATTTTCAAAATGAACCCTTTATTCAATCTATAGCTTTGATTATATATAATAAAAAACTCCATAACTTCATACCCTGGTCTCACCAGGAAGATGCACAACTACTGCTGGACCATATGAACTCAAAACAGGCCAATATTCAGAAGTAGCTCAACTTGATGGAGACATCTCTGCTGAATCAAGCCTAAGAACATGATCAAGAACTGTGTGTATCTCATCCTGTAGCAAATACAAAGGTGAAAGAAGCCAATAAAAGCAAGGTTGGAGGAACAATAAAAAGTCGCAATTAGGTAAGAATGAAATCAGGCACAGCTGACTATGTATGGTGGGAAAAGGGTAGTCATCGGCTTGTGGTTGGAAATAACAATAGAAGTTAAGAGAAAACACTGGAGAATCAAACATCTGAAGGAACCAACAGCTTTCCCAGTAGGATTGCCCAACCAAAAATTGTGTAGGGCCACATTTCTCCAGACGAGAGAGAGAGAGAGAGAGAGAGAGAGAGAGTTCAATCTCGGTGAAGAGATTAATAATCAAACAATTAACTAAAATGAGATATCTCTAGACATGGACAGAAAATAAGAATAATCTATCTCTGTGTAGATAGAATTATGGGTTCAGTTTGAAATCCTTTGAAGGTTATCTGAATTGACAGACAAAAGGCCAGAGGGCACAAGACTCAAATGTGATTATAACAACAAAAATGAGGACATCAGTACTACTGAAAAATAATGACATTTCCCCATCCTAGAAATTCAGGCAGAAATTATGCTGATACAACTTACATATCAACAACTTCTACATTAGCATCTACTGGTTTTAAATCTTCTTTGACATTATTTCCAGGAGAAGAGGCAACTGGTGCAGAGTTGGGGGACTTAGAGTCAATCCTCTGTCTATGCGGTGAAGGAGACTGACTGCTTTCTTTGGATGAATGACTTGAAGAACTTCTTGACCTGAAAGAATTAAAACACTAATATCACTGGAAGTCACAGAAGATGAATCAAATATAGTAATAATAATTAATAAAGAAAGAGAAATCAGAGTAGAAATAGAAAACAATAGCTCAACCCCAGTATAAAAATGTGCCTTTCGGTTGCATATATAAATAGCTTTCTTGATAAAGTCTAATATTCAAAAATCCAGTTTCTATACAAAAATTATTCCAGTCTACTGGTGTATAAACAAATTAGGCCATGAACACCTCCACTGCTACTTCATAAGAAGTCTAAACTTTGCTTTGGTGTTCTACACTTGTGCTAAATTAAGTTAAAACATAGCAAATAACTGGTTTAAGTTAAGCAACATATGCAACTGACCAACCATTTTCAGGTTAAAAACACCAGTACCTGGTGTTAACTTTCATAGAAACATTTATATCTCATGGAAATGGCTAATATGCTAATAAAATATAACAGAAGTTGTTGCCATAAAAAAAACAAAACACTATATCATGCCAAGATAGACAAACCTGTCTGATGATCGGTGGTCCCTCCTGTCAATATCCCGTCGCTCTTTGCTCAGACTCTCCTTTATGTGTTCCTCTTGCTTTCTTAGACCAGCCTGGATACGTTCTTGCTCAGCCTACAAAAAACATCATACAAAATGATAGAAGGGGAAAATTTGTCTATTCCATTCAATAAAAAATTGCCTAAATGTGATTACAATTAACCATACTTTTTGTGTTGGATCTTGATTTCTGCATAATTGATTTTGTTAAGTTTCATATGGTTAAATTGAGTGAAATTTTCTAATGTTTGTCTTTATCAAGATGAAATGAGTAGTCATAAAACAAAGTTCAGTGGCTTTGTACCCACCTTTAAACATTTGGAATAAGCATACTAAAATCAATATTCTTTACAAATGGAGCTTACACATATTTGCAAAAGTGTTTTTGTTTGACTTGAGAGTGAGAAAGATAAGACTTACCTGTCTCTTCTTTATTTCTTCTTTCTTTTGTTCTAAAAACTTGGTTGGAATACCACTGACATTGTCCTGTGCACTTATCAAGAGGTCCCATAATTCTTGCATGAATACTCTTGCATTTTTAGGATTTAAAAATCCAGTAATATTAATCTGTATATCCTTAGGGTCTGGCTGTTGCTATTAGGAACAAAGAGAGAAACTTTCAAAACTCATGAAATAAGCTGTATTGTAAACCAAGAATTTAAAATGCAGTAGAAAATAATAGAATTATATATATCAATAATGTATTATATTTATATATGGTAAAATTTTGCTTGCATTAAACCTGTATTCAACTGCAATGGTTGCTGTAAGAATCATCTTTCACCCTCAGTACTTTCATATAGAAGAAAAACAAAAGAGACAAATTAAAAAATATTAATCTGTACAAAAATAGACTGGCTATTACCAAATGTTGGCTGGATTTTGTGCTGCTCAACTTAGATGGGACAAATGTAAGGACACTTAAAAAAAAAAAAAAAAACAAAAAAAAAAAAAAAAAAAAAAAAAAACCAAACAAACTATTATTAAGTGGGAAGGGAAAAGGATGGGGTCATTTATAGTTAAAATGTCTTCAAATTAATGTACGTTGAATTTTGATTATATCAATTGCTAAGGTAAAAAGAAGTGATTGCCGTACTGATTAAAATTATATCAATATTTTCCACAATTCTTTTAGTGTATACTGTAAAAACATTAATCAACTGTGATGTTATCAGCCATTTACTTTACAAAGAAAGTTAGGTTTAATATTTTGAGATTTTTTTTTTTTTAAAATACCAATAACTGCTTCATCAAAGTTTAAACCGAGAAGGCAAGTTAGTGCATAAAAAGAAAAACTGAATGCATTAAGCTCTTCTCAAAGCCAGTCAAACTTGACACTAAAATAAGCTTTTAAACATCAAAAATTTTAAGACACCAGCAAAGTATACAAATCCTCAACAATGGTGGCAGCCTGTTCACTTAACACCCTGAGCCACAACCATTCACAACCACACTATTGTCTTTAAAACTAAAAAGCTAAGTGCTCTACTCGCCCATAAAGAAAGAGAAAGCAAATATTTTTCTGAAGCTAAGAGCTAAACCACCAAAGTTCATTAACCTAAAGGCTTGTGTAAATTTAATATTCATCCAGTCCACGCACAAAAGGCATTGAACGCATATTCTATAGACAGCAGTTATAAGAGAATATAGTGGTATATAAGAACTGCAGCATCTATTTGTCAACAATGGTCAGATTGGCACACTCCAAAGAAATTTACTGCCGAGCAAAAGCCAGTTATTGAAATATAAATTTCCAAAGTACCAAATATCAAAAATGTAAAATATCAAATAGGTAATAAAATAAAAAAATTTATTGCAGTAATATCCTTGTAACATATCTTCCTGATAAAAATCATACTACTTTATTTAACATCCATACAAAAAAAAAAAAAAAAAAAAAAAATTGAGTACTCCATTCATAAATTACAAAATCTTAATTTTTTAATGACATCATGCACCGATTGATTTGTTTAAAAATATTTTTCCTTACAAAAGTCAAAATCAAAAATTTCCATTGAAATGTAGTCATTTTTTAAATATTTTATTTTGAATGAAAAATTTTTCCAGTCAGCTGTATTTTTTTATTATTTTTTTTTTTAATGTTTTAAAAGTTTTAGAAGAGTCTGTGTGTCTAAAATAGATACTGTGCAACAAGAGGTCACCATAAAAGAGTCAAGAGGAACAAAGGACAAGAGAAACACATACCACGGTTGAGAATGTCATAAAATGTCCCGACCACGTGGTTTATACCAACTTTGAGAGAAAGTTGTAGCTCATCAGAGGCAGCGACGACCACTAGCATCCAGCCGACATTATAGTAACAAATTAATCCTGTAAGTGAGCGCCTTTGCCAGGACTTTGACGGGACAGGGAAGGCGTTTATAATTTGATCATCTCTAATTGTGAGAGGAAACAGCCAAACATCAGTATATTAGCACAACAACCATCAACATAAAATATATACAAGATTATATCATTACTTTGTTATTGTTTATAGAACAGTTCGCTAGATTCTGATAGGTAAATGAAAGTAGAAAAAGAGAAAGATAGGGTAACAAAGCATGTATCATAACAGTAGAAATGGCCACATTATCACCAAGCGGTTTACAAATACCAATTACAAGTTAACTGCCACAAAAGACTTAATCTAAAGAAAAACTAATAAAAACTAAAAGCAAATATAAAAGCTTCCTGTAAACTGGAAATACTCACTTTTTCCTCTAACTGATTATAAACAAATTCAACAAGCACATCATCTTCGATGCCTAATAATTCAGTAATCCTCTGTGAGATCCATGGCTTCAAAGTCTCCACATTGACTTTGTTCATATCCACCTAAAGTAAAAGATTAAATATTAGTTTTTAACAGATTCAAATTTTCTGATCTAATATAGAAAACAATTTTGACTAAAAATTAAGATTTCTATTAAAATTTTTTTTTTTACCTTTTTCTCCAATCCATCTGCAAATCTCATAGATTTGAGAAGTTTTTTCTTCTTGTCCGCAAAACGGTTATCTTGCTCAGCACTGGTTCCCTGGTTAAACAAAAAAAAAAAAAAAAAAGTAAGCAAAAGCTAGTTCATAATGTAGTTATCAATGAAAAACAAAATGCTCTATTACTGAAATCAACTTGAGACAAAAAGATAACTAAAGAGAGAGAATATTTCTATAGTGTAGAGAATATAACCAATTTGCATAGTATAGTACCTGTCAAAAATGGATATGATATTATTTACATATATAGACAAGCATGTCTGCCTAGGATCTGCATTGTGAAAGTGCTGCATTTTTATGTGTATACAAAAGACTAATATTAAAAAATATAAAACTACATTCTTCTCTTACTCAAGAATAGACATTTAGAAATTTAGTTAAATTAGTTTGAGGAAGCAACTGCTTAATGACTATATAAAATATAATTAATTATATAGGGATAAGGGATCTGAAAGAAAATCTCCATCTATATCACATCAAGTGTTGACCACCCTCAATTTTTTTTTATTATTAGATAAAACAATTCTGTATAAATTTATTAGTCACAAAACTACATTTAGTTTTATTTAAGTATAGCTAGTCTTTATCGGAGATCTGAAAAAGTGGATAAAAAAAGAAAGAAAAAGACAGTATTGATGTTTATTGTAAGCATTGACAAAAACTCAAATACCATCAATAACCATATAAAATTGTATGAAAGCAAACATGGTTTCTCTCATAAAAATATTTAAAAGAATTGTTGCATGTACAGACTTATACACACGCATTAATGAAAAGTTAACTTGCATTACTTCATCATTTGCACAAGTTACCAGACACTTTCAACTCACCCCCCCTTTTCAAAGATTTTTATAATTCTTTAATGTCATCACAAATTATATATTTGGAAAAGAATTCCCTTGTAACATTAAAAAGTAGAATTGTTAAAAAAAAAGAAAAAAAAAGAAAGAAAAAAAAAAAAAAAAAAAAGAAAGAAAGCATATTATAAATCTAATTATAAGCATATGAATAAACTAGCTTTCAATTTCAATTTTATGCTCCTACTGTCTTACTGAGAGAGACATCTGATCATTTTAGTTTGGATGACAAGGAATCAGAAAGACATGCACTACTAATTTGACAATCTGATTTTATTCATAAATAGTTACCACAGTATTATTTTTCAATACTGGATTTTTTTTAAAAAATTATTATTTACTCAAAGAGTTTTAAAAGTGTAATGGAAAAAAAATAAAAAAAATTCAAAAGCTGGTTGAAAGTGCTTTTTTAGCTTATAAACTCAATTAGTTGCAGAAACATAACAGATATTTTAGGATATCACTAATTAACAAATCAAATAATCATTACATGTACAATAGAGACTAAACTAAAAAAAAAAAAAAAAAAAAAAATTCAATAACTTAATTCAAGAACTATTCACCATATTTTTAAAGTATTACAATAAACAGATACAAGCTATTCAATTTTTCAAATAGCAAAAACTTTGAAAATGTAACATCTGTCAGTCTAGTACTTATTGGGGCTCAAATTATTACCAAACTAATAGTGCTGATAGGAAATAACTACCTTTCTAGTAATAATTCCATTTAAAAAGTATTTATACATCATAAAAATAAAAGGTTTTTGGCATATATTGTTCAATTAAAGTATTTTTGTTTTAGTTAAATTAGGAATTCATTCCTTCTGCTAGTCCTATGTAAAGTGTTGTCATATGATACAAGGAGAGTAAGGCAAGTAAATTCTCTTCATAGAGATGGTGAAGTCCAGCATAGATTTGTCTTCCAAAAGAAACTTTCTTTGTATTTGCCCCACTAGCTACATTTTCATATTTATTGCATATTATATTATGCAAAATTATATATTCTTTAGTAGATCTAACACTGAATGACATTACTACATTGCATGATGGCTTGCACAGTGATAACAAATTAGTCACAAGTGTAAAGTGTTCAAATCCTTACAGGATGCCACACTTGTGCTATAAGCTAGACAAAGCTAAGTCACACGTGTATAAAATCTAATAATTAAAAAATAAAATATTTTATACTTGTTCAACAGAATTATGAAACATGTGAGGAACAAAATGAAAACAGCAGTTTTATAAGGTAGCATAACTTCACCAGTTACTGTCAACAAGTGATAACTCCCATAATACTGTCAGCAACATTACTTTTTCTTGATTATGTTTATATAAATCATGCATCTGTTAATATTTGAATTGTTACATTTACAAAGAATGATACAACCAACATTTTGAAAAGGCAAACGTGTGTAGACTAAAAGACTTACTTATATGTGCCAAATTTTAATAAATTGACAGTATATTTAAAGAAATTTGAAATGAAAACAATTGATATGTTAAATTTAAGGTGCATCCACATATTTTTAAAAAGCAATCTGGTAAACAGAAGCTAAAACTTAAAAAGAAATTCTTTAGAGTCTTGCAGGTTGCCTGATAAACTGATGTATTTCAAAACTAATTTAAATTGGCTGGAAAGAGTTTTTGTTTTGAGATAAATAACATTGATTTTAGCACCATTTTTAGCCTTCCATCATCACAATATAATTCTCTTTAAAAAAATCTTTCAAAAATAAAAATATACTTTTCTGAAAGATTTGAGGAATATCAGCTGATTTAAAGTTTAATTAATCTGATTTGAAATAAATATTACTCTAAACTCTTTAAGTTTAAAAACAGTGTTGTTTATTTTAGGTGTTAACAGCTTGAATGACAGATTTTTTTTTTTTTTTTTTTTTTTTTAAATGGTGGATATATCTCTAAAACTTACTTGAAGAAAAGCCTTTTTCATATAATTTTTAATTACCCAGTAATCTTAAAAATATAGGAAAATATTCTCCATAATCTAATGTTTTATTGAATTTTAAGTACTTTGGTTTTAAATTTACTAGTTATCGCTCTTATTTCTTGATAATATTGTGTATGGACGCCTTATTCACAAAATTTGGCACATATGCAAAAAAATTCTTTTTAAAATATTGGTGTCCAATAAATTGTACTAAGCTTTTCCATTTATGATTAGTAAATATAGTTCTTACTTAATAATATCACCTAACCAGCATAAAGTAACACAGAAATTTAAAAGATAAAAACTCTTCTGGCAATATATATATATATATATATATATATATATATATATATATATATATATATATATATAAAAGACAAAAGTGCCCATAAGATATCTTTTTTCATAAAAGCAATTAAAAGCTTTCCTAATTAAATAATGTTTAATTTTATTACATCTTATGATTCAGAACAGATTTTCAGTAACTGGGGGTACTGTAAAGAATTTGAATCCCCCAAACTTGAAACTAATATAAATATTGGCACAAAATTTAATTTCCTAAAATTAAATAAGTGGGAATTGGAGTGAGGATTAAAAAAATATATATATATATATATACATATACATACATACATACACACACACATTTCATTCATTTGAAAATGTCCTGAAAGTTACATTAAAATAGGTACCTCCACTTTTTTTTGTTGAAACAATACAGCATGATGGGGAAAAGCCCCAAAGTTAAAAACAAAATTTTATTGTAAAAATGTTTAAGCGGAAAGTATTTTTTTTAATTTTTTTTTTTTTAAAAAAAATCTTTAATTAAAAAAAAAAAAAAAAAAAAAACAACACCTAACACATCTGAAATTTTGCTTAAATTTATTTTCCCTTTTTAAATGTTAATGCAACAGAGCTGGCTATGGAAATTTTAGCACCTTTTCTCTGTTAAAATAATACATTAATTTAGGAAATCTTGCCAAAAAAAAAAAAAAAAATAAAAATAAAAAAAATAAAATCAATCAATCAAATAATTGTTAGATTTTAATGAAACTTTCAGGATTTATTCAGAAATGTATGAATTTATTTTTGAGATTAATATTTTTTTTTTTTAAAGAAAATCTTTGTAAAAAAGAAAGTTACCAACCACAACATTTTGAAAAACTGGCTAAAATAAAATATACATTTCTGAAATGTTACTTTCATAAAATTAGCAAATTTAAAGTTAAATTAATCTGTTCTGAAACAAATATCACTTACTTATAGCATAAAATTTTCTAGACAAACATTTCTCGACTTTGGTGCATTGTTATTTTCACGTCTACATCAATAATGATGGCTGAATGTGTTGACAGGTTTAGTACAGTGCACCAAAATTTACATAACGTTTTTTTTTGCTTCTTATAATTTGAAATACTGTAAAAAAAAATTCTTACATTATTGAGCCACCTCTACCTCTTTCATTATTTAATAGCTAAGATAATGGTAAATAATTTTATTAATTATTAATATTACATTAAGATATGTGATATACATAAAAAAAATATCTAATTATGGCAAAAAGTTTTGGTAGCATTATTTGTATTGAGCTTTTAATTTTCGCTTAGTAAATATAGTCTTCACTTAAAAACTACCTCATACTCTGAAAGAATTTTAAAACTTAAAAAAAAAAAAAAAAAAAAAAAATGAAAAATACTAAAAGAAAAATGCAAACAATTCTTGTAGAAATTCTTTACTCAATTTTTTTTTTCTTTTCTTCAGATAATAATGTCCTTAATGTATATTTTTTTATAAAAGCAAATATAAGCCTATCTAATTAGATGGGCTTATTGCAGCTTTTATTTTACGATTTGGAGCAGATTTTTAAGAAGTTGGCAGTAGTTGTGAGAAATAAAATGAAAAAAAGTGAATTTAATTTCTCCAAGGAGTTCTGCTTATAAGTAATATAAAACAATTTGCAAACTATTTAAAATTCTAGAAAATTAAGTTAAGTTAACATAAGAAAAAAAAAAAAAAAAAATAAAATAAAAAATAAATTCATTCATTTTTGAATAAGTCCTGAAAATTTCATTAAAATCAGGCAATTTATTGATTTTTGAAAGAATTTCCAAATTAATACCCCCCAACGGCGACACTAAAATGGCCATTACAACAAATAGCACCCACCCAAATTTGGGGGGGGGGGTGCAAATTTTAGAATGTGTTACAAAGGAGGAAAACTCTTAAAAATAATTAAAAAGAAAAACAAACTTTGTTCTTTCCTCTTAATAATAAAACTTTGTTTTTATTAAGTTTGGAGCCATTTATCATTATGTTATGATTTTTTAGTGAATTATTGGAGGTACCTAGTTTTATTAGTTTAATGCAGGGCTCCTTGGAGAATGTAAATCATCTATTATTTTTAATTTTTTTTTCAGTCAGTTACTGATTTCCCCAAAATCTGCTCCAAATAGTCAAATAAAAACTGCAATTAAACTATCTCATTTAATTAGATAAGCTTAATTGCTTTTATAAATAATATATATTAAGGACATTAGTCTGAAGAAAATTTTTTATTTTGATGAATAATGAATTTTTACAAGAATTGTTTTCTTTTTTTTTTTTATTAAAATAATTTATAAAAGTTTCAAAAAATCTTTTAGAACTTCAAAACTTTGTCCTTGTTATGTGAAGACTATATTTCCTAAGCAAAAATTAAAAAGCTTAAAATATTCATTCATACACAAAGATTTCAAAAATAAGTAAGCAAAATACTCTGGTGTATTTCAAACAGATATGATATTGATGGGAATCGATTTTCACCCCCACCCAGTTGATTAGTGCCCTTTTTCATTTCAATGTAATTCTATTAAAAAAAATCTTCCAAACACAAAATGTACTTTTCTGAAACTTTATTTGAGGAAGATTAGCTGATTTAAAGTATAATAATCTGATTTGAAATGAATTTTCTTAAGCAAACAGTAGTTGTTTTTAACCAACAGTAACCATGTTTACAGGTTTGATTAGGTGATGACTGTTGTTCTACGCAGACTATCTGTAAAATATAATTTTAGAAAATGATGTGAGCACCTTTTTAATATAAGTTTTAAGTACTCAGTAATCTTAGAAGTTTTTTGAAAATATTCTCTGTAATTTAATTTTTAGGAATGAGTCATCATTCTTATTTTCTGATAATGTTGTGTATGCCCATGTTTATATACACACAAAACTTTTTTAAAATCTCGATTGAAGACTGGTATTTAAAATTAATAAATATAGTTTTCACTTAATATAATCTAAAAGGCTGAAATTAATAAAGAATTTTAAAAAGATCTAAAAACTTAAATTTTTATTTAAAAAAAAAAAAAAAAAAAAAATTCTTGTAAAAGCTTCACTCGTTAAATTTTTTTAAGATTATAGTGTCCTTAGTGTATCTTATTTAACAAAGCAATTAAAAGCTTTTCTAATTAAATAATGTCATAGCTTTGTTTTTTTTTTTATTTTAGGATACGGAGCAGATTTTTGGTAAATGGTGTTCAACAAAAACAAATTGATGATTTATATTCTCCAAGGAGTCCTTTTAACTAAATATAAATATGAAGAGGCTGATATTTTAATTTCTTAAAATTTAATTAAGTGTGTGTGTGTGTGTGTGTGGGGGGGTAACAAATGTAAAAATAAAAAAAAAATAAAAAAAATCTTTGATTAGAAAACTAATTTATACTCCAACTCAAAGCATCTATGAAAATATCAAATTATACAAGGTTTGCTTTGTAAAATAAAGCATTCTATGTTCTACATTTTCATAACCAGATCTCTCCTGGCCAACTTAGAATTAAAAACAAGATACACACAATTTTATTGACAAGCAAAATTTATATTTAAATGTAATACATAAAAATCTAACGAGAGTAGTAGTTATTAAAATTTGATGCATTACAAATAGTTTACAACAATATTAATCCAAATTTTCAGTAAAAATAAATAAGGAAAATATTTTTGTGTACTATTGAAATCGTGTAATATTGAATAATTTAGATTTAAAAAACAAAAAAAACAAAACAAGTCTGTATAGATAAGAAACAAGGGATAATTAAAATGTTTTAATTTAAAACTATTTTAAATTAAAAAATTTAGAGAATAAAGTGAAACAATGCCAAGGTGTGTGTATAAACGAGCAGTAAAATGCCGATTTCCATTTGGGTAAGTGGGAGAGAATTTTTAAGCAAAGACTCTCACCCCTCAAGGTAAGGACATTGTAACAGAAACAAGTTGAGACATGATCTTTCAATGGTAGTTAAATACTAAATCATCGGTTCTGTTAGGAGTTACAAGGGCTTGTTCTGGCATTAAAACATGGTAAATACCAGGCATTGAAAGGTACAAACATTCAATAGCGAAAATGCTAAATTTCGATATTTCATCACGAAAATGTGTTTCATTTACGTACCCACCCCCACACGCGCGTTTGAACGATAAAGGCGATATTCTTTCCCTTTTCAACAATATTAAACTAAAGCGTTCAAGTTTTCGCCCAACATTTTCCGTTTTTCTAATTATTTCTTAAATCTCTTGGATTAAAAAAAAAGTTTTTAGGAAACTGACACTGTTGCAGAACGTTACTCCTCCTCTACTTCTGGTCTTCATTCCCATTACCTACCTCTCTTAATTTACCATCTTGCACTCGATGTCAATGTTTTACGACTAAACTACACCCAACAATAACTATGAACTTTATTGCTATAATAATATTGCACATATTTGGTAGAAAAAGTGGGATGTACTTTTCTCAAGACCTTTCCGTTGCCGTATAGTCTATTTCGCTAGCACACCCCAAATTGGTCTGGCTATTAAACGTTCGTACCTTTTTGTGATCATGACCATAAACCACATCTTAAAAATAAAAAAAAAAAATAAAGGGGTGGTCTTCGATTAACTTAAAAAAGAAATCTTCAAAGTGTTCTTTTCCTAAATTTATTCGTAAGGAAAGTTTTATTGAAATCAAGATTATTTTTCCAATCTTTTTATAAACAATACAAAAGATTTATGATAAAATTAACTTTCATCCAAGTTTTTCGTGCTCGAAGGTACCGACAATGTTGAAATTGTACGTTATCGTGATCAAATATAGAAAATTCAATATTTATATAGTTAATTTTAAATCTTACATTGCCTTTTAAATTTTTAACCGATTTTAATCATCGGACAGCTTTAAGCAGCACTCTTAAGTCATCGATGAATATTTTCCAAGTATATGGCAATCTTTTTCCACTAATTTAGTTTGTTATATAACAAGAGAGGGTCAATTGGTCATTCATACGTTGGATTTTTATTTGAAAGCAACAGACAACACAAAGCGTTGTTATAAAATCTGGTAGCAGGGAATTAAACATTCATTAAAATAATTTAAGTTTGTTTGAATTAGAAAGGAGATTTTTAATAGTTAAAAATTGTATCGCCATGTAAAATAAAGGTGCATTTGACTGGATTGAAAGAATACTTTTTCATTTAATAGTTCTGATTCAGCACAAAGTCTTTAACAAGAAAATCTGCTAAGTTTACAGCAAAACAAGAGAATCGAACAGTGTCATTTTAAACTAATATACATTATTACACTGCATAAGAGGCAAATATGAAATGAAGAAATGATCGTGAACGATCCGATGTACAAGCTTCCGTGTATGGAAATATATTACAAAATCAATCAGAAGGAAAAGTAAAATTATCCTTGTTTATCACTTAACACGAGGTTTTAAATTCACGAAGTGAGTTTTTCAATATTTTTTTAAAATTAAAAAGCAAACAATTCAACTCCCCTTTCAACAAAAAATAGGAATTATTTATTATGAATTAACTGAAGTACATTTATTTGTTTAATTATACTTTAATACAAAAGTTCATTAACCATGGAAACTGAGTGAATTTAAAAAAAAAAAAAAAAAAAGTTGATATTAAAGAAAAAAAAAACTTAAAATTAAGTACAGAAAGTAAATGTTAATTTAAAACTAATATTTATTCTAAAGAAGTTCACGTAAAAATTAAAAAAGTAGAGGAAAATGGCAACATGCAGTGCAACATTCGTCTTGGTTTTCGCCATTTTGAAAAACTAACTGCAAAGAAAAACGCCAGACACGAAAATATTTTTTTCGTTAAAATTAGAAAATCGAAATTATTTATAGATTAATATTTAAGTTTTCAGTTAGAGAATGCCGACAACAGTTAATATAAGCAATTCTAAACAGTAGCTTAGGAAATATAAACGGATCGACTACAAATAAAACGTTCGGTTCCTTTTGAGGCAGATACACGTGGCCACAAACACAGATTTTAACATTATTCAATCATTATCCATTCAAGGTGAAAAATAAGATAAATAACAACGGACAATCAAGAATCAAGAAGAAACTCAACGCGATCAAATTTCTAAGCAAATATTAAACGTGTCACTATTTCGTGTATAAAAATAATTTAAGGTTTAAAAATAAAAATGGGGGAAAGGTCCACATCAAAGACATGCAAGGGAAACGGTTTTTTCACTTTCTCTCCACATCAAGCTAATTTTTATACTAATCGTCTGTAAAGATTACTGTAAGATTTAGAAAAACTATAGAGAAATTACAGTAATTAATACGAGGAAAATACGAAAAGTGAAACAGAAGTAAAGAAGAAAAATATCCAAACAAATTTACTCAGATTGATCACAACACGCCTAAAATAAAATCTGCCCACTAGTCAGCCATATTGAAAAACCTTCTGACCTAAATAAAAAGCAAGATGAGAAATTGTTTTCAAGCGCAATTAATGACGGAAACAGTTTTAAATGCAAGTCTTTTCACAAAATTTGAAAACAAGGAGGGAAAATATTTTTCAGCACTAAATTTACCTTAAAGAATCCTGCATCCGTCATGGTGGCGGTATTTATGCAGCTTCAAGCAGAGAAAGTGCAGAAACTTTGAGTAATAATTACCCACAATACCTAGCGACAAGCTTTTACTCTTCTTGTTCCGCTGCTTTTTATCAAAGTTGTCTAACCTTAGTACCAAACCTGACCTCTAGATAGCGTGATGCCTTTTCATTCGATATATGAAAAAATAAAACTATTTTAAGAAGTTGAAAAAGCATTAAATTCTAAATAAGAAAAAAGTGCAACAAATTAAATCTTTCAGCTTTGTCATTAAAATCTTTTAAGAATAAAAATAATTAAAAACTACAATAAATAAAAATTAATATAGCTAATTACTGTATTCACCAGCTGATGGCCCAGAACCTAGGGAAGCCCCAGTAGTACCTCGCAATAGCAAGAGACTTTGTTAATTTTCTGTCACAAAGACTAGTATAGAAATGCCAGGTCTATGCAGATGAAAAAATCTGTAGTGATGAATAAACAAATAAATATAAATAAACAAATACTACCAAAATTTTACCATCTCTAAAAATAGATGTATATCCAGTCATATTTCAACCAACTTGACTAGGATATGAACATCATAGTCTAACAAGCAAATCAGAAACAAGAACTGCTCCAAACCAGGATATAAGGTCACTAATTGTGAGTTAATGAAAAGGAAAGCAGCAGCTTCATAACAGATCTCTAGAAATTTATATAACAAGATGGAAAATCGACCTCAGTCAGAATTAATGAATTTTAATTTTATTCTTTCTTTGATGTTGCGGTTTATTGTAACATACCCAGAGTCAAAATACAACACATGCAGGACCCACACAATCCCACATAGATACATTCCTTCTACTACATTTTAAGCGAGCTGCTGATGCATTTGAATATGTACATACATGCATATACATAATTATGTACATTCTCCTAGACTCATTCTCTCTTGCACATACCAGGACATTTACATTTGAACTCTTGAACATCCAATTTTCACTCTATCCTTTATAAAAAAATTTATTAGTTAGTAATACAAAATAATTAAAAATAATAATTAATAAAAAAAGTGTAAATAAAAAATAAATAAATGTTATAATCTGTCTATATTTCTGAGATGAGGTATTATGTACACTATTTACATTATTCAGACTATTGTCCTCATCTTTGTTGTCATATTTATCACATTTCGGCCATTGTATGCTCCGGTCTTCTTTAGGTGGTTGAAATGTCGAACTAAACCCTTTATTTTGCTTGCTGGGGCTGTTCTAGTTTCATGTGCCATGTCTAATGGGTGTCAGTTATCAGTACCAGTAATAAGTAGTGCCAGAGAAAAGCGATAATAACAATGAAAATTGCAATATGAGCTCTGGTAAAAAACATGGAATGATAACAGCAAAAATTCCAATATGAGCACTGGTAAAAAATGGTTGCTGAAGATATTAAGTTTATAAGTCCCAGAAATTCATACACAGATGGCACAGTGGATAAAGGTGTTGGTTAGATCCAGTGACAGGACCCAAAGAGTTGTGAGTGGAGAACTTGGAGAGGTGAATTAACAGGCAATTACTGATAACTGACATGGCACGTGGAACTAGAAGGGAAAGCAATATTTGGCTGCCAACTGAGAAGCATATGTAAAAAGGACCTGAAACCTATTAATAGAAATGTATTCTATAAAAATAAATTGTAAAAAGTCTCTGTGGCAGCAGTGGTTTGAAATTGCCAAATCTATCTTAGTCCTGTGATTTTTTTTTGTCTTATAATTAGGTGCACCTTTCTTTTTAAAAGATTTGCCTTATTCAAAGTCTTTCCCAAAGTTTTTTTTTCATTTTTTGAAGATTGTTTTGAAATCTTTCATGATATCTTTTGATGTTATCTGCCTCACAGAAGATGCCTGGAAGGAAATTTTTGTACAAGCCTACTTTATAAAATATTGTAATTTGATATAATGTTTAAATAAAGGTTTGTTCTTTTAAATCTCACATTGTAATTTTGAGATTTGTGTTTGTATGTGCCTTTGTTAATGTTCAGGATGAATTTGTTTTTAACTCTCAGAACCAAAAGACAGAAAAAAAGAAGGGATAAAAAGAAGAGAAAAGAACAGGGAGAAAGTATAAAGAAAAAAAAATTAAGAAAAGGAGAAATAACCCCAACATTTTGACACACATACACACAAAGAGAAAACAAAATCAGCCGCACACCAATAACTAGTGCATAAATTAATGTCCCCTCTCTTCCTCCCTCCCCTTCCCCTCCCCCTCTCCCCTTCAGGAAAACAAATTCTTTTACCTTCTCTTTATATATATTGTGTTATATAAAAATTTATTTTGCATATATTAATGCATTATCCATTTTCTTTTAATCCTTACACAAGATAGATCTATGGTGGGAATGGACATTGTCATAAGATAATCTCCATCAACTACTGTAAGATCTTAGGGCCTTGTAATATATTTCTTTCTTTCTTTTTTTTCTCTTAGTGACAATTCAAGTTTAAGTATTAGTCAGGTATACTAAGATTGATTTGGCAATAAACCTTGGTATCTGCACTCAGTAAGAAATATATTGGTTATCTATTTCTTTTGTATTGCTTTTGTAGTTATGTACCAAGTCAATATTTTCCTCATAGCGAACAGTTAATTCAATGACGTATTTTTTGTTTTAATTAACTTACTACATCAGATCAGGATACTGGGTTGTTAATATGATCTCAGCTAGAAAGGTGAGATGACATTCCAATCTATTACAACACACCAGTGCAGTCATCTTTGCAATAATCAAACAACGTTTGAAAAAGTAGCTCCAAGAATATCCCAAGAGGCATACATTAAAGCATTAGTTAAAACATATCAGGTTCCCAGCAATTGCGTAGTGCTGAAAAGTAAATATACTCTGGTTAAGTGGAAGAAATGAACAAGTAATAGAAAGATGAATAAGACTGGTAAATACTAAGTGACACAAAATATCCCATAAGCATTGAAAATAGAATGAGATCAGTCTATCTCTATCAATTGAATTATAATCGGAGAGAGCCACAGAAGAAAGGCTTATTCTCCCATTTGTATTTTACCCATTATTATATCCCTGATATAATAACACCATATTTCATGGATAGAAAAGAATGGCTGAAAGGAAAATGGATGTCAAACATACTTTGTTTTTAGAGAGAATTTTATAATGCTATGTTGTACACAAAATTATGTATACATATATACACATGTCCCATGCAGAGAAAAATATAGCATATATGCAACAACAGTGTGTAAAAAAAAAGGGGAATCTTACTTGTAATATTTCCCAAAGGGAAAACTGGATTACAGTGGTAATTACAGAGAAAAATATAACATATATGCAACAACAAACGGTGTGTAAAAAAAAAAATGAGAACCTTACTTGTAATATTTCCCAAAGGGAAAACTGGATTACAGTGGTAATTACAGAGAAAAATATAACATATATGCAACAACAAACAGTGTGTAAAAAAAAAATGGGAACCTTACTTGTAATATTTCCCAAAGGGAAAACTGGATTATAGTGGTTTCACTATGAACCTGGTGAGGCCATGTGGTTTTTCCTGAAAAACCTACTGCTGTGGGCTAGGAATATTGTTTTTCTCTGGGCTCTACATTGCAACTTGCCTTTGTCACTCTGTCCCCTGATGTTACACACTGGCTGTCATGTGACTCTTGTGACTTTATTTCAATGAAAGGAAGACAATCACCTCTTGTATCCCTACAGAATAAAAGATTCAGTTGGAAATTCCAAGAGTGTTACCAAGTATGAAGATTGACCGTGGAAGGTCAAAGGGTACAGTGGCTGAAACATTGTGAGTATAACAACCAAGATGAGCATGCTGGTCTGAATGGCAAAGCATATGTTTCCTTTTACTAAAGATACTTTTACTTGGACTAATGGAATTTTATTAGCAGCTTTGCAACATCTTTTTGTAAGACTGCTGAGAGGTACATTTTCTCTCTTTGGACTTTTACTTGACCAGGCCAGTATATGTCAATTACACTGTTAAAAAAAACAAGGATGTTTACTCAAACACATATATTCACTAATTTGTCATTTAAGCATTAATTAAAAAAAATCAATATATATATATATATATATATATTTATCAAATAACCCCAACTTAAAAAATCCCAGAAAATTTGAGAAAAAGAATTACTCTAAAAACCCCAAAAGTCCTGTCTGTGACACTGGAAATAATAAGGTTATATTATTTTTAACTCTCAGAACCAAAAGAGAGAAAAAAGAAGGGATAAAAAAGAAGAGAAAAGAACAGGTAGAAAGTATAAAGAGAAAAGAAAAGGAGAAATAACCCCAACATTTTGACACACATACACACAAAGAGAAAACAAAATCAGCCGCACACTAATAACTAATTAATTTTTAACTTAATATAAAAATAATAATATAAAAAAATGAGAAAATCTGACGAGTGGATCGAATGATTGCAAAACAGTTCATCTACAAAAAACCAGATTCAAGGTGCTGAATATAATAACAATCAGCTAAAAGGCAAATTTTATTTGTATCAATCCTAGAAATAGAGATGTGTGTGTGTGTGTTTATAAGATGTATAATAGTATCTGAAACAAAAGGGAAGATAATGAAACAAAGTGGAAAAGATATAAATGATGCATTTCTCTGAGAATGTCTGCTGCTTATGGCTTCTTCAGATTAGACTGAAAGACAAAACTGTTTGTAAGGAAACTGTTCTGGGGCTGTAAATCAAATTACCATATCAGATTTGACAACCAGAATCCAGAAAGTTTCTGATTTAAAAATCAACAGACATCAACCGCTTACATATATATATATTTAAAGACATTTTTATGTTTAACATTCTTTTTATAGATACAAATATTTTAGTAAATGCTCTGTTTATAATAAACAGTATTAAATAACATTTACTGGCCTAAATGTCCGAGAAATTTTCATAGAAAATATTTGTCCTTTGACAGGATTCAAACCTGCATCCAATACGGAACCGTCATTTAGCTTGA